AACTTTATTACATTCTTATATTTCTCACTTAACTGCATTATCAAGTGACTTATTTTGCAGAGATTGTTTTTTCAAAATGGTGTTTGTCTTCATCAAATAGGGGAGACTGAAAGTGATACTAGCAAAGATCTCATTGATTTGATGAAGTCAAAGATAAAATCAAAGGTCAACTCGCAACAGATCAAACAAGTCACTCGAAGAATGGAGTCGAAGACTTAGTGTGTCTTATCGTAAAGCTTAGGTAAAACCACTTTACCTTTTCCACTGCATGAAGCTCCTTCACTCAATTTGCAAAATGCCTCAAAAATAGTTTTAAACAAATCAAACAAAAGCATTTTGACAAAGAACTTTCTTAACAATGTTTTTAACTGATATAGTTTTAAAAGAAACAATTAAAATCACTTAGAATGCGTAAAGAAGTGTTTTTTCAGTATTTTAATCGATTCAAACTTCTTTTAATCGATTAAAACCCTTTATGACCGATTAGAATTCGAATATGACAGGTCAGAATGAAATATAATCAATCAGACTTTAAAAATGACCGATCAGACTTATTTCAATCGATTAAAACGAACTTTCAATCGATTAAAAAGACTTGAAAATTTATGTGCAGATTTTCAATCGATTAAAACGACTTTATATCAGCTAAAATAACTTGGAAAGTTTTATAAGAAGTTTTTTTTAGCAAATCAATCGATTAATACGCGAATCAATCGATTGTATCACACTTAGAAAATGTTTGTAAAATGTTTTAACTGATATAAACATGGTTGTATCAACTAAAACAATTTTGTTAAAGAACAAGAACGCGTTAATGGGTTGAAAGGACTTTTAACAGATTATAACAGCTATTTCAACAGATTAAAACAAACTTTCAACAGATTAATTAATGCAGCAGATTTGAAAATTCTCTTTAAAATCAGTTTTGCTTGAAATTTTTAAACATAGGTTGAATATCAGTTTTACACAAAAACAAAGCAATCAATTCAAGCAATCTGTTAGCATACTTTTTCCAAGAAAGAATTACAACTGTTTTGTGAAGTTCTTTTTGAAATCTTTCTTGAGGCATATTGCATTCCGTGAAGAAGAAACTTACTCGTGGATTAGCGTAATCCGGTTTGAGCTTTCTAAGTCTCTTCTTTTCAATTACTTTTCATTTCTTTGTATTGTGTTGTACCTGGAATTTGGGTACAAGTTTTCTGCAGTACTGGTAGGTGGTTGTAGAAGTTTCCAAGAACTGGAATTTGGTTCTTGGTGGAGAGGTTGAGTACAAGAACTGGAATTTGGTTCTTGTACTCGTGTGGTGCCTGGAATTTGGGCACTTGGTTTCTCTGCAGACTAGAATTTGGTTGCAGAGGTTTCCAAGGACTGGAATTTGGTTCTTGGTGGAAAGGTTGAGTGCAATAACTGGAAGTTGGTTCTTGTGTTAGAGTAGGTGTAAGATTGTTGAGTCTCGTAAAACATCTATTCTAGTGGAACCCAGCTGGAATTTGGCTGGAGATCTGGACGTAGCCCTGGTATTGGGTGAACCAGTATAAAATTACCGGTGAAATCTTTCCTAACCTTTCTCTCTTTAATTTCAGTTGCTGCGCTTGTATTGTTTAATTGCTTTGTGATTCGTGAATTGATTAGTAAACTTAATTTTCGAATTAGATAATCTGTTTATTGCGAAAAACTTTCAAAAATCAATTCACCTCCCTCTTGATTTAAAACTACTTTTCTAACAAATATAATATAGCAGTCTTTTTGTCTTGCTTTTGCTTGTCATGAAATATATATCTTTGATTCTAAGGATATTGTTCCATCAGTGAGCTCTGCAGAATAAAGTGCTATCAGAAATAAATTGTATCTTGCCATTTTGTATTAAATTAAAAAAAGTAATCTTTTTCCCATATCAAAGTTTTGTCTCTCGATCTGTCGGGATTTTAACTCAAGAAGCCCTATATGAGAGTTGAGGGATTTTATTTCACATTATTCAGAATGGGAAAGGAATGATATAAATTATAAATTTGTTCCTGTTTGGTAATGTTATACAGTTTGTAAGGAATGATACTGAAGCCATTTTTATGGTGTCAACTGGAAAAAATTCCCCTAATAATCTCAAGGCACAGTAATATCTTCTGCATTATTTTATTTTCATATTGTTACTAATTGCCTTTAATTATCAAACTCACAAGTTAACAAGTTAATTCACTAACTCGGATGAGTTTGCAAGTTAGATAGTGGCCATGAGTTAATTTGTGAGTAAGCCTGTTTTTAGAGTGAACTTGTGTTGACTCAGTTAGACTTACGAGTTTTCCGTTGGGTTCGTAGGGTTAGCTAGTCTTGGTTTACCTAAAACGAGTTTTCCGTTGGGTTCGTAGGGTTAGCTAGTCCTGGTTTACCTAAAACGGTGCATGTCTTCTACCAGTTCATTTCTCCTTGTTGTACAGTATTTTTCTTCCACTTTTGAGTATTCTTGTGGTGTCTACTTCCCCAACTTTGTCTCGCCTATGTGCATCTTCTTCTCTAGCTTTGCATTTGCCACCTGATCGGGCAATGTGATATGAATTTTAATTGCACAAAGGGTGATTTAGGATCTTTAGGGTTAGAACCTTGTAGGAAATTTAGGAATTTAGTGATAAGATAGAAGGAAATAATCACTCTTCCCAAGAAAGATAACTCACAAAGGATGTGAAAGTCCTTTGATACAACCAAGGGTTTTTTAATCACTCAAGAATTTAAGAGAATTACTCACACCAAGATAAAAAAGTTAAACTCTATATTTTTAAATAAAATTCAACTTGTTATATTTGATAAAAATATGGTGCAGCCTATATAGATGCTTTGCCATCAGAATTACAAATATTCAATAAAGGAAAATAAATGCTAATAATGATTCATTAACCTAGGAATTAAGACAAATAAAGGTTAATAATGATCCACTAACCTAGGAATTGATACTATTTAATGACTGATTATAACTGAAATTGTGACAACCAAAAGTCAATTAGTTATGCACCCTCTTGGTCTCCCAAAGACTGATGACTAAGTTTCCAATTGGGCCCTTATTACAACTTACAATAAAACTAAACTAAAACCCATTAATTGATTAATCCAAAACACAATTTGGTCAACCAATAATACTTGTTGAAGAACTTCCTTTGCTTCTCTTGCCCTAGCCCTTGTTATAGGTCATGTCGACATCATTCTCTCCCTCTTGAAAAGGATTTGTCCTTAAATCGAATTTATCATCTACATAAAAAAGAGATAAGTCTGAAAAATTGAATGTAGAACTAACATTATACTCACTTTTTGTGGCTAAATAGCTCTTTCTCACTTCAAGTGTTTCACTTTCTTTTGATCACTCTTTTTCTTCTCAAGTGTTTCACTAACGCTTTCTTTTTCTCTCTTCTCTTGAAAAAAATGTCTCTCCTCCTCTGCCATCAATTTGATGTTCAAATCCTTAAACCTGAGCTCTGAATACCAACTGATATGAATCTCAATTGCACAAGGGGTGATTTAAGATCTTTAGGGTTAGAATCTTGTAGGAAATTTAGGAATTTAGTGATAAGGTGGAAGGAAAGAATCACTCTTCCCAAGGGAGGCAACTCACAAAGGATGTGAAAGTCCTTTGATACAGCCAAGGGTTCCTGGATCACTCAAGAACTTAGGAGAATCACTCTCACCAACATAAAAGAGTTAAACTCTAATATTTTTAAATAAAATTCAACTTGTTATATTTGATAAAAATATGGTTCAGCCTATATAGAAGCTTTACCATTAGAATTACAAATATTCAATAAAGGAAAATAAATGTTAATAATGATTCATTAACCTAGGAATTGAAAAATACTTAATTGAGACAAATAAAGACTAATAATGATCCATTAACCTAGGAATTGATACTACTTAATGACTGATTGTAACTGAAATTGTGGCAACTAAAAGTTATTTAGCTATGCACCTTCTTGGTCCCCCGAAGACTGATGACTAAGTTTCCAATTGGGTCCTTATTACAACTTGTAATAAAATCAAACTAAAGCCCATTAATTGATTAATCCAAAACACAATTTGGTCAACCAACAATACTTATTGAAGAGTTTCCTTTGCTTCCCTTGCCCTAACCCTTGTCATAGGTCTTGTCCACATCATTCTCTTCCTCTTGAAAAAGATTTGTCCTCAAATCGGGTTCATCATCTACATAGAAAAGAGATAAGTCTAACAAATTGAATGTAGAACTAACATTATATTTACTTTTTGTGGCTAAATAACTCTCTCACTTCAAGTGTTTCACTCTTCTTTTGATCACTCTTTTTTTCTCAAGTGTTTCACTAACACTTTCTTTTTCTTTTTTCTCTTGAAATTTTTTTTCTCTCATTTTCATTTTATCCTCCTCTGCCATCAATTTAATATTCAAACCCTTAAACTGGGGCCCTGAATACCAATCTCAATTGCACAACGGGTGATTTAGGATCTTTAAGGTTAGAACCTTGTAGGAAATTTAGAAATTTAGTGATAAGGGAAAGAATCACTCTTCCCAAGGAAGGCAACTCACAAAGGATGTGAAAGTCCTTTGATACAATCAAGGGTTTCTGAATCACTCAAGAACTTAGGAGAATCACTCTCACCGAGATAAAAGAGTTAAACTCTAATATTTTAAAATAATATTCAACTTGTTATATTTGATAAAAATATGGTTCAGCCTGTATAGATGTTTTGCCATCAGAATTACAAATATTCAATAAAGGAAAATAAAGGCTGATAATGATCCATTAACCTAGGAATTGATACTACTTAATGACTGATTGTAACTGAAATTATAGCAACCAAAAGTCAATTAGCTATGCACCTTCTTGGTCTCCCAAAGACTGACTAAGTTTCCAATTGGGCCTTTATTACAACTTGCAATAAAACCAAACTAAAGCCTATTAATTGATTAATCCAAAACACAATTTGGTCAACCAACAATATTTGTTGAAGAGCTTCCTTTACTTTCCTTACCCTAACCCTTGTCATAGGTCATGTCCACATCATGTCTAGGTTATGCATCTCTTGCTGTTCTCGACACAGCATCTCCTGCGTTCTCCAAATTGGACACTGTTCTCTCCTGTCTTCACAGTGTCTATGGTGTTCAAATGTTAAATTGACACATGAAGTATACTCTTATGATACGGGTCAGAGTTTATGGAGTTTCCACAAGTTTACATAGATTATTGAGTCTCATAACCTTGAATCTAACTAACTCCTATTCCCATTTTAGGTCTACTTTTGTTTGGGATAGGTGTAATCAGTTAGACTGATATATTGTTTACTATAATTTTGTGATACTATCTCTTTGATGATTGGGTTCGCACGTTAATTATCTTTTGCATCATTTAATTTTCATATTGTTAGTATGACAGTAACTCACTCCTCCCATGTTAGATCTATTTGTTTGAGATAGTTGTAATCATTAATACTGAAATCTTGTTTACTATAATTTTGTGACACTATCTCTCTAATGATTGGATTCGAATGCAGGACCAGAATTTTGGGAGAAACAGGCAACCTGATAACTTGGAGAAAGTTAGTCTTCTTCGGGATAAATTTGAGTATGACAGAGAGAGAAGAATGCTAGAGAAAGGTTTGTTTCTAGCTGGTTATACTCCATCATGAATTTTAGTAATCCCAGTATACAGCTTTTCTCAATGTATTATTTTTGTGAAATTCTTTAAAATGGGCAATGCATTATATAATAACACTGGTACTTTAGATTTCATCATAGTGCCAATCATAAATTGAATCTAGTGGAAGACAAAAGTATCTCATAAGCAGCTTGACTCCTATTTACAGCCAGTACAATTGAGTTTCTGCTAGTTGTTCTATGCTTTGTTCTAGTTAGCCTTTATTGTAAGAGAAGTTTGTCAATATGAGAGAAATTATCTCTGTAAATATGCTTAAATCTGTCTTTCCCGATATTATCATTTTAAATTTTCAATAGTATTTTAGAGGCCAAAAATAGTTTGCTATAAATTTCTTTTTTTTGAAACAATCATGTCATTTGCATCAAATTTTGTACTAGAGAACAATTTAAGTGAAGACCACAATATATAATAGATTTTTATGTTGATACGTAGCATTAATATCAGTATGTTTAAAACCTATTTCGCCCCTTTATATGATGCAAATCCTAAGTCTTCAAAATATAAATCAAGCAATTGGTATGAATAAAATTATTTTTCAAATCACTTATTTAAATATGGTTAGAAATGACTTGTGATGCATGAAAATCTCAAAACTATCTTCTGCGTTAGTTAGCAATTTGTTCTGTTGGCTGTTAGATTTAATTTTTTTCAGTATTTTTCTCTTTATATATAAAAAGTTCAGTTATCATCCATCACTATTTACTTCATTGCAGCATTTGCACCCATGCATGAAGGATCTGCGTCTGACTCTCATGATTTTAGCGGTTGGAACCAACCGCTCAATACCGATCGATATTTCAGCCAAACAGAGAGGCATTGAGAAGAGAATAAACTAAATCTGCCTGTCATATGAAAAGGGATAGGATAGTTTTTCTCCCACTAGCTTAATGATTATTTTTGCTTTAAAGGTCCTTTGGTAAGGTAGGAGTTGTCTTAACAAAACATGTAATGTATTAATACACTGACATTTATTCTACAATTTTCTGCCCCCAAAGTTTTGACTCTAGCTTGTCAGAAGGGTATAGAAAATGGAAAATAACATGAAATGAACCTGATGAAAAAATGTTTTATCTAATCGAAATCTGTATATATATTTCCTTTCTGCACACCTCTTTGTTGGCTTAATTGATGAAGTGTTTATACATCACAAACCTCTTGTTGGTGATGGTTATTATTTACTATTTAAGGTTTAGTCTGCGCTTTAAACTTTTATAAATTAAATATGCATATTTTTTTCTAATAATTATGTTGTTGATAGTCTAAGTGATTATAAGTTGTAATCTAATAATTATGTAGTTTGGAGGACCGAAAAAAAGAAGTTAGATGAAGCACAAGCATCAGACTATGAATTATTGTCTGAAGAAATGGTCCCATAGTGTCTCTTCAACAAACTAGAGACCGGAAATACATAACGTCTCACCGTTAAGAACAAATAATTGGAGATAGGGCAAAGGGAGTAAGAGCTAGATTATCTTTAAAAAATTAAGCTTCCGTCTCACATATTGAACACTCGAATCTAGACAAAACTTTATCTCGATAGTAGTTATAGAAGAAGAAACATGTGTTATGAGGTATATCAAGATCATAAAATGGGTAAGATGTAGCGGTCAGGTCAGTTTCATTAATTCACTTAAAAAAGAGTGGATGAACGGGTAAACTAACCTATTTAAAAAAATTATTATATATAAAAATAAAAATAATTATAATTAAAAATATTATATTTTTTTTATGTTATATTTAAACATACGAATATATTATAATATTATAATTTAAATTATAAAATTAATCAATTGAGTTTAAATTATTGATTATAATTAATTATTTTAATAAACAAATATAGTAATTTTTAATTTATTTAATAAAAATATTAATTAATAAATAAAAATTTAAAAATTATTTATATAATTAAATATATTATTAAAGAAAACATAAAAAATTATGTATATAAAAAAAATGATTGATGATTGATTCGTTAGCTTATCATTATGCCAATTAATAGGATGAGTTAGGATTTGTAGCCTATTCCAACTATAGCATAGCATACTAAAATGAAATGAATTGTCTCGTTTTACCATTTTCAAATGAAGAAGATCCGTGAAATAAATTGTAATTAAATGAGACGCGTATTTTTTCAAGTAAAAAGAAATGATTTGTTATAATTTTTTTTATATCTATTAGTTAATTTTTCAAGCAATTGATGTCGGTATATTAATTGTCCTTAGAAGCTCCTTTCTTGTGAAAAATAAATTTATAAGCGAAAGTTGATACCATTTCTTTTAGAACAGAAGTAAGGAAGAATTTTATAGATAATATAAATTTATGTTGACGGTGCAATGAAACTTTGTATAAGGATTTTGCTAAGTTGATGTGAAGTGAGTTTGACCATTCTTTGTAAGACTTTAGATCAAACAAGGGACAAACAATTTCCTTATGCATCAAGTCAAGGAAATGTCAGAGAAGTTTAATTTGGAGGCAGCAGAGCCCAAGAAATTTCCTATGCATATATATCAAACCGGAAAAGGCAAATCATGTGTGCTAGATTTTATTTCACATCAAATCATTAAAAGAACCTTTTTGTTATCTAGATACTATTAACATGTGTTTGTGTTGTTAGAAAAAAAAATAATAATAATGATAATAATAATTCAAATTTTTTATTCTAATTATTAAATATAAACGTAATCTTATACTGATAAACATGTTGTAAACTGAATGCGAAAGTGTACTTGAATGAGTCATAATGATGATGTCTTTGTAGAACACTATATTGATCTTATGGTCTTCCACCTGAAGAGCACCTGTATTTCCCTCTTAATTTTCTCTTTTGATGGGGATAGAAAGAAAGGAACGGGACTCGATACTTACGTTCGTGTGTATGCTCCCAGAAGGGGACCATGACCCTTCAAATAACCGGAATTAAGATAATTACTTAAGTTTTAGTATTTCCAATTTGGCCCCTCATCAAATTAGAAATTGCTCAATGGTCTCTACACAATTTTATTTTCATGACATATGCCTTTAGCCAAAACTTTAATTTAGTCAGATCACTTTATTATTTAGCTTAATAAATAATGACTCTAACACATTTAAATTATGTATCATATATATATATATATATATATATATATATATATATATATATAACCCAAATTTTGCCAACAATCTCCCACTGGTCACAAATATATATGTCCTTGCAACCTTACAAATGTGTTAGACTTTATGAGCTCAAAATTGTCATTATATCCCTTTAACATACTCCAAAAGTCTTGTCCATTAATCATATCAGGATATAGAACCAAATCAGCTTTTCATTACATCATCGCAACTAAAACCAACAATGATTACTCATCCTGATATAACCAAATGACATGGATTCATCATGAAATGTGTAACATGAAAAATTACGTGAGGGTGATCTTTACACGTCTATTTTCAACTGGTCCAAACTTTAACTTATCGAGATCGATATAATATCCTTAATGTACAAAGTGTAATGAATGAGCGAAAAAACCGCATATCTATAGATAACCAAATATGTCCAAAAATCAATGTATACATATATGAAATTAAACATATAACATAAAATATATGAAAGTGACTAACTCCCACTAAACCATAAATTCCTCAAACTGTAAAACACCCATGTGAGCAAAATGTTCATGAAAGACCTTGGACTGAAGTCCTTTAGTTAGATGATCTGCTATCATGGAGTTTGTCCTAAAGTGTTATATGAAAATCTGTCCATTTTGTACTCTTTCCTTAACAATACAGCTGATTTGTTGTCACAATATAACTTAAGTGGTCTTTCAATGCCTTTCACAATTTGCAGCCTCGTGACAAAATTTCTCAGCCATATTCCATGATTTGATGTCTCATAGCATGCTACAAATTCTTGACATCCTGCAAAATCCGAGTCGGAAAACCCAACGATCTCTAACTGGTCCGACCTCTTGTATGTGAGCATATAATCTTTTGTTCTCTTTAAATATCTTATGACCCTTTTTGCTGCTTTCCAATGGTCTATTCCTGGATTGCTTAAATATATGCCTAGAACCCCAACTATGTATGCTATGTCCGGATGCGTACATACTTGGGCATAGATCAAACTCCTACAACCGATGCATAGGGAATCTTTTGCATTTCCTCAATTTTCAAATTCCCCTTTGGGCAATGATTGAGACTAAATTTGTCTTCCTTTAAACTAGTGATACACACAATCATCAACAATATTCATCTTGAAGCCAAATGAGTTTCATACCTTCCGGTAATGGGACAAGTTCCCAAACCTTATTGTCTTGCATGGACTTATACTCCTCCTTCATTGCTTCAATCCACTTTTGAGAGTTAGAACCTTGTATAGCTTGACGGAAGTTAATTGGGTCATCTTCCATTATATCATTATTTTCCTCATGTTCCCGAAGAAATACCATGTAATCATCCGAAATAGCATTTCGCTTTCTCTAGTGGATCTCTGCAAAGTTATTGGCTCATGATGCACGGGTTCTTGAGGATATTGAGTTTGTTCTTCATGAACAACCAAATCATCTTGAGTAAGGGGTTTATTAACAATACCTTGTGGAGGTTCCGAACTTACTTTATCAAAAGTAACTATTTGAATCGGTTCCGGAATTGTTACCGATTCTTCCTCCAAGACAAAGTTCCCGATTTTATTCTCCCCCCAAACTCAATATCCTCAAAGAACGTAGCAGTTCCCGTCTCAAAAATTGTCTTTAATGTGAGATCATAAAATTTATATCCCTCGGATCTTTCAAGCATAACCAATAAAATAACTACTTACTCGTTCGGAGTCAAATTTCTTTTTATTTGGCTTATAAGGCCTTGCCTCAACTTGGACATTCCCACACATGGAAATGCTTCAGACTAGGTTGTCGCCCAGTCCAAAGCTCATAAGGAGTTTTGGTAGCTGCTTTAGTTGGTACTTTGTTTAGAATATAAGCTGTCGTCTTTAGTGCCTCTCCCCAGAGTGACTCCGATAAGGTGGAATGAAAAATATACTCCTGACCATATCTTTAAGAGTTCAGTTTCGTCTTTCAGCTACACCATTCATACTAGGTGATCCCGGCATGGTATACTGTGGGACAATTCCACACTCCTCTAGTTACCTGGCAAAAGGTCCTAGACGTTGTTCACCTGACTCGTCATATCTGCTATAGTACTCACCACCACGATCAGACCTGACAGACTTAATTCTTTTGTTGAGTTGATTTTCAACTTCAGCTTTAAATGTTTTGAATACGTCCAGAGATTGTGATTTTTCATGTATAAGAAATAAGTATGCATATCATGAGTAATCATCTATGAATGATATAAAGTATTGTTGACCATTCCACGAAGGTGTAGGAAATGACCCACAAATGTCCGGATGTATTAACTCTAAGACGTCTGTAGCTCTATATGTACCTAATCTCTTCACTTGGTCTGTTTGCCCTTAATGCATTCAACACAAACATCAAAGTTTGTGAAGTCAATGGACTCTAAGATTCCATTTAATACAAGTCGTTCAACTCTATTTTTAGAGATGTGACCTAAGCGCCTGTGTCATAATGCTCCTGAGTGAGTATCATCAATTTTACGTTTAGTACCCCGTGATTCTGTATTAAGGGTTTCATTATAGGTGGTCATAGTATCAAGTAAATACATATTATCATAAGGCAAAAGTGAACCAGTTCCAATAGTATTTAATTAAAAGACAAACTGAACTTATTGTTTCCAAATGAACACAAATAACCTAATTTGTCCAAATAAGAAATTGAAATCAAATTCTGTCTAAAAGACGGCACCACAAAAGTGTCTTTTAAGTCTAAAATAAAAAACCAGTACACAATAATAATCTAAAATGTCCAATAGCTTCCACCTCTACCGATTTGCCATCTCCAACATATATTCATCTTTCATAATCAATTGGCTTTCGATAGCTTATGCAACCTTTCATAGAAACACTAATGTTAGTAGTTGCACCTGAGTCTAACCACCAAGTGTTACTAGATACTGACGCTAAATTGACTTTAGAACAAACCAAAGTAGGAAACATACTTTTGAGGGTCGTAATAGAATTTAAATTGGCATATACAAAAATAATTGTAGCTGAATTAAGAACAAGAGAAATAAATTAATTATACTAACATTATAAAAAATAAATAATTATAAATATTCAAATAATAGTTTAACTCATCTCAAGACACCCAATGCACCATCAATATCAAGTCTTTGGACAAGTAATATTAACTGTTAGAGGTATCTTGTTGTAATAATCAAACATTGACAATGATGCTACAATGAAGAATTGTATTTGCATGACAAACATTTTGTATAATATGCACAAGATTTACACCCATTGTATTATATTATATGCACAAAATGCACAATATTTTGCAAATATCAAACAATATTATAAGAGAACTAGTTAGTCGATGGTCAGTTAGTGATCATTGTTTTAGAATAAAATAATATCTTGTCCCCATTCACCCCTTTAGATGTTTATTTTTCGTTAGGTTTACGTATAAGGGGAGGTAGTTGTTTTACAAAATATGTCAATTTTGTTTAATCTTCATGCAGTACATTCTACCTACATATTGGGGAAAAGGAATTCATATTTTATTACAATTAAAATTTATTTATTTTTAAATAAATATTCCCTTTTATTTTAAAATATTACACAAACCAATATAAATATTAATAATTATCATTTTTAACAAATTTATTAATCATTTTTTATTAATATATTTATTATTTTATTATTTTCTCGAATTAAAATATTTTTAAATAATTAATTTTTTATTAATATAATTAAAAGATAAAAATATAATTAATAAACAAATAGTTATTACAATCTTGAACTTTATAAAATAGTAATATATTTTAAGATAAAAGGAGTAATTATAATATTTTTATCATAATTTTCATAAATTCATGCAATTTTTAAAAAAATTAATTGTTTTATATCATTATTAATAAAAATTATGAGATATAATTTAAAAATATTACTATAATTTTAATTAAGACAAACTTATCATTGCATTATAATTAAATTCATTTATAATTAGAATTTAATTCCATTATACCAATAATATAATTTTTATACTTTTATCTATGTGTAAATTACTGTGTATAAATTATTTTTAACTTATACTCTATTGTAACTTTTAACGCTAATAATATATTAATTCATTTTGTCTACGTATCTTCCTGATTCTTATTTACTGGAGGTATTGTTTTTTATATTCTAATCCATTATAATTTTATTATAAATATATATATATATATATATATATATATATATATAAAATTATTATCCATCTCAATTCTTAAATTATATACAATATGATATAAAATTAATAAAAAATTAATAAAATTAAAAAGAAATTAAAAATACTTTTAAAAAAGTAATTACAAAAACTGTGAACACAAATTATGATAAGAATAATTGGGGTTGTATGCAAGGTAGGAAATTGGAAAAAGAAAACTCTAAATAAGAGTTTCCAAAGTTTAAAAAAAAAAAGTAAACATTTTTGCAATCAGGATAAATGATTTCTTCCAACAACTGCAAATCTTTCATTCACTACTTTCTTCCAACCTTTTTCTCTTTCGTTTGGATGTTGGTGGACTGCACAGAAATATAATATCAGCATTGCTAAGTGTAAAAATCTCATAAAAGCACAAGTGTTAAAATCTCAAAAAGCAGTTAATAATATTTTCTCACAAATGGAAAAACTCAACTACATCACAGAGATTGGTCAAAGATCATAAAACATTTAGAGATCGGTCAACTACATGTTCCAAACCTACCATGGTTCCACTAATCTTCACATGCATAACCATTTTTTATTCTTATGAATCAAGACCTTAAAGAGTGATTATAAATTTTTACTTTAAAAAATAATAAAATAATGGTAGAATACACAATAGTATAGTAACTATTAATATTAAGATTGTCTTTCTGTGAACTTATTACAATAAAAAACAAATATTACAAATTATTAATAAATAAAATAATAATTCTTAAAAAAGACTAATTTTTATCTATTTGTTAGAATTAGATAGCCTTTATAACAATTTTGTTCCACGTTGTAAAGTTTGAAGCACATAATAAGCGTTAGACAAATAACTTTTTTCAAATTATATACTTAAAAATATAATCCTTCAAAAAAAAATTAAATGTAGCAAGTAATGAAATGAAGATTAAAGAGAAAATATTAATTAACAGTAATAGACAAATATAATTTTCAACATTGGATTTATACAATTAAACATTTCATCTTCATTAATTTTAATATAATTATATTTGATATGTTATTATATATTTTATGCCATGGTCTAGGACTACTATGGACCCAACAAATATCCACATGACACATAGTTAGAAACTATTAATTCTTTCTCATCAAATGAAAATCTCGATCATATGTCATGTAAATATTGGTCAGGACCATGTACATGTTCTGGTCAGAAACACTGATAGTTTCTCTTATTTTATCGACAACAACTTGAATAGTTCATGTTACCATGGAGACACTTATATTTGGAGATTTCTCATAAATATAAATAAGATTGGTAAACATACCTTTTAAGTAATGTTTGTATATCAGCACCAAGACTTGTGCTTAACTCGTCAATATTTGCATCAACCTCATTGTTAAAATTCAATAAGTTGCAAGCATCGAAAAGAGCAGTAGAATTCACTGTATTGGAGATAATTGATGAATCCTTTATCTGTGACTTGAGATGTTCCATCAAAATAAGTGCTGCATAGAGATTTCTTGGAAGTTAGTAAATGAAAGTGATTAGAAACCATATCTTATTCTCTAACATTAGTGCAAGAAGTAGATTCATTATTATGCTCCTAGTAGTAGGAATTTCAATTAATTTGCAACTACTACAGTGAAATTCAATTCAGTTCGAAATTTCAGAAATCCAAACCAGTGGTGCAGATAATCTAAGTATGACAGTAATTTGATGGCATTTCATTGTATGCATGCAACAGTACGGACTCAACAACCAATGACAGGCTGATGTCCTTTAATGATTTCAATGGATGAAAAGAAGTAACGAACATCCTAAAATCTTGATGAAATTAAATACTTGAATTCTTCTTGCAAGAAAAGAATGTCAGAGCAATCCAGTCCCTTTATAAAAGTTAACATTATAAGTAATACCTGTAGAACCCTGCCTCACCATTAATATTAACATTATACAAGAAAACAACAATAAAAGGAGACATAAGTAATCAATGAACATTATGCATATGAGATTTGAAAGGTATGCATATGAGCCAAGAAAAAAAGAGCCATAGAGCATACCAATGGCTCGAATCATTTTGAGGTTGAATTTTTTAGCCATCTCCTTACAACCTATCATTTTTGCACGCTGAATGATCAACAATTTCAAGCTAATCAGCACGTCCTGACAAGTTTGAAATTTTCGCCATCAAAAGTTAAGCTCTTACAACAGAAATAAAACTTAAATGTGAAGGGGACATTCAAATTCAAGAAACACAGATAACCCAACTAAACATGACTAACCAGGTCTACTTGAAACTAGATTTACACATATAACTTGGTCTAAGACAGACTCGATTACATTTCCATTCATTAATGAACTAGATAGTCCGATTATTTTGATTTCATAAGCTTAAATTATTCTAAAAAAAGTAGTTTTATTAAGGAGAATGGTAGAAGTACAATAGGAGTGGACTGGGGGAATAACATATCTATATCCCACGAGAAAAAAGGTTAATTTCATTTTTGGTCCCCCAAATACCGCAATTGTGCAATTTTAATCCCTAAGGTTTCAACTGTATGTGTGATTTTAGTCGTCTAGGTTCTAATTGTGCCAATCAGGTCCCCAAGTATCATAATTGTGAGATTTTAGTCTCCCAAACATACCATAAGGCATTGTGACATTATCAAATTCCAATCAAAGATGGAACTAAAATCTCAAATTCGTGATACTTGGAAGATCAAATTGGCACAAATAAAATCTGAAAGAATAAAATCAAATAACTGTGATACATGAAAAACCGAAAGTGCTATTAAGCTCAAGATAAATGCAGAGCATAAAATGAATATTAAAACAGGTAGCAAGACTGTTTAATCTCCAGATCATAGTGAAGAAATAACTAGCACCAAAGAGAATCCATTCTTTCCCAATAAAATGGCAAATCTGAATCCTAAAAAGTTACAACCATTTGTCTCCGATCAAACAGGTATGTAAAGATAGCATAAGGTACAAAAAAGTTATGCCTTCATCTTGTTAACTCCACGGTTCAAATGAACAAGTGAAATGAAGGGACATACCTAATATACATCAAACATGCAAAACTCTTGTTCCAAAGGAAAGTAGCTACAACAAAAATAACACTACGACATTATGCAAAGGAGAGGACTTGATATTTTTGTTAATTAATACACTTGAACCTTAACATTTATTTTATTACTCTTTGTATAATAATTCATTTTGTTTTTGACATCTTATCTTCATCCCTTTTGTAAATTCACTCTGTATATCTTCTCTTGCAATATTATAGTTCTATAAAAAAATGCTCTCAAGAGTGCGATCTCGCATACTCTGTAATCTCTGAACAAGATTTCTGGTATCGAAGTTTTTACCAAAAACACTATAGTAATATTATCTAAAGCAACCAACCTACAAAATCTAGAAACAAAGAAAACAATGATAAAATGTGATCCATTAAGTTAATGAACACACAAAGAGACTTACAATTTCAGACTCCGAAAGGGAGCAAAGCCAAGCAATATCTTCAACCCTAGTTTCACAATTTTTATCCGGCTCAACAACATGCTTCAATCTTTTCTTCAAGTATCTTCCCTTCATAGGATCAAACTGATAATTATAAGATATGAACTCCTGTTAAAATTGTAATTAAAATAAAACAAAAGTTAGTTGAAAAATAGACGAAAAACAGTGTTTTTCTAACAAAATAACAAAAGTGAATATTAGCAAGTAAAAGTAAAATATATATCTAACTATCCTATGCCCAAAAACACAACCAAGAGAAGGAAAATGAATAAAACCCTCAAACCAATAAACAGAAACACTGAAATGAAAGTTAAAAGCAAAACTAGACAAAACTTAAGTAATATTGAAAGATGTTGTGAGTATCATTATCATGCACTAGAGTCCCACTCATCTCAAGATGTTTGAATGAGAGAAAGCACAGCACAAAAGGGAAAAATGTGAACCAACCCATCAACACCAGTTGTCAAAAAACTCAACTCACACAGGTTGGCTCACTGAATGAACAAAAATTAAGTCCACCTTGCTCAATCACCAGGAGGTGGGTTAAATAAGTGACTCATCATAATCAAAGAGAAAAAACATAAAAAAATGAAATAATAATAATAGTAAAGCTCAACAAAATGTAAAAATACATGAAGTAAGCTTAGGAAGAGAGCAAAAAGGTAGACTTGGTACCCAATTACTTAGCCAGTTAAAGTAAGTTTGAAAGGTGATTTATAAATTATCACAATTCATCCGCAAACTTCACAATACATACTACACCAATAGTTTACCAACAAATTATGAACCAATAAATTTCCATACACAAATAGCACCAATCCAAGCTAGTCAAACCTTTTTCATATTCAGGGCTAAATGATCATGCTATGAGCAAAATATATGAAATCAGGGATCATAGGGAACAAAAAGATATAAATATAAAAGTTGTCGAAAGGAAGGACAGTGAATTCGGATAATAACAGAAAATAATTTTGGAACAGCAGTGTTAATGAAAGGAATCCTGCAGATCAATTTGGATAGAAGAAAAAGACAAGCTTATTCCAATAAAAGTATTAGCTAACATAAGATATACAGTATAATAAGTTTATGTTTAGTTCCACAATGAAACATTCAAAATCACAGTGAAATATCAGTAGTTAATGCAGAATTTTAGGTAAGTGTCTGCATGTTTAGTCTCACTTTGAAAAATTGATTCTGAAACTTTATCTAGAATTAATTTTGAGTTGAAACAACTTTAGTTGCTTATGCTCAACTTCTAATTTGCTCTCAATCAAAGAAAGCAATAACAGATAATTACAAAGCAGAATATACACACATCAGAAAAAAAAAACTAGAAATCCACACAAACATGTAATATCAAGAACAAAACAAACATAGCCATTGAAAAAGCAGAAATGCCCTCACTCACCTAACCCAAAAAAAAAAAAAAAAAAAAACCGTGGAAAGAAGCACACACTAATGACGTTGGAGCACGGCCCACCACACAAACCTGCAGCTTTCGCTAAATTCGTAGATTAAACTAATCAAAATCAACTGATGAGTTAAACTCGATCAGCCAATTTCATATGTACCAATCTGCCAAACCTAGATGTTTAGCCCCTTGGATGAATGAAAGGGAAAGAAGGAGAGAGAGGGGCACGGCACATACGAAATGTAAAGGATAAATAAAAAATAAAAAGAGATTATTTTCGTATATTTACTTTTAATTTAATATTAAATTTAAGTCACAATTTTTGTAATTCAATTTTATAATTTATTTATTATAAAGTTGTTAAATAATTTTTATAAAATTGATTTCTAAAATTATTAAACATATTTTAATAAAATTTTTGAAATAAAAAGATATATTATAAGAGTTCTCATATTTTGATAACCCTCGACAACCGAATAAAAAAATATTAAATACACAGTATTACTGAATAAAAAAATATTAAATGTACAGTATTTTTATTATTAAATAATTCATTCCCTTGACCCATCTCTCATCCTTCTCCGATTCTCATTTTTCTAGCACAGAACTTTCTCATTCCTTCCTCGACCTCGACCTTCCTCACGCGGTTGTGAACTTGCCCAACTTGTCAGTCGAACTCACTCACCACTGCATTGTACAATTTTTCCGGCAACATCGTCAACGTGGTTCACCCTCGACAGCATATTCGGCGCACCATGAAATTATGAGAAAAAAAAATTGGCATTTCAAATTTTAAATAATTTTTTTTTTAAATTGGGACTTTAACCGCTATCTAAACCTAATAAAGAGAGCGGTTCTAGAACTAACCGCTATTAAAAGTATATTTTAGATAACGGTTAACTTGGAGCCGCTATTATATGTTCACTTTTAAGAGCGGTCAAAATATTAACCGCTCTTAAAAGTGACACATATATGATAGCGGTTCCACTTTAACCGCTCTTAAAAGTGAATCAGATAGTGTCGCTCAAGCGAAATGCAACCCAAGAATCCCAATTTTTTTGCAGGTGGTGTCGCTCGAGCAATGTAAATTTCGCTTGAGCGAATGTTGACCTGGGGCTAAACGTTGATCAAAGTTAGCCGCATAATGTGACATGGGTGACCACATGTTTGAATCGGATATCGCTCGAGCGAGAATATTGTCGCTCAAGCGAAACACAACCGAGAATCTCCATTCTTAACCGAGAATCTCCATTCTTAGCCGAGAATCTCCATTCTTAGCCGAGAATCTCCATTCTTAGCCGAGAATCTCCATTCTTAGCAGGTGGCGTCGCTCGAGTGATGTGAATTTCGCTTAGAAAAATCAGATAATATGATCGATTATTTTAGATTATAATCGATTATACGTTATGATGATCGATTATAAGTGGTATCGGTTATATTTTGCTAATGAAGTCAAATCCGTTATTAACAAAGTATTGGGTGTCAGTCAAGACAGGGTCACAGTTTTGGTACTTGAAGAAGTCGCTTATCAGTGGCTGCGCTTAAAGCTTTTTCTTTTGCCACATGGTTTATGTTTACAACATTGAGATAGTCAACACTGAACGAAAACATAGATGAGATAATCAGAGTAAGATTGCTTTACTCTAGTCAATGATAAAATTTATTGGGCGCAGGTGCATTCATTTTCAAGGGATGGAACGACAGAAGTGTTTCAATCATGTATCTGAATGCTTACAGCATTAGACCAAAGAAGTGCATGATATTCCCCACACACACCGAATCAATGAGGAAGACAAAATCAGCATTAACAGAACTCCATCCAGACCGCGAAAGCATCAATACAGACACTCTCCTAGACTCCAACCAAACAATCCAAACTCAAATCGCAAACTGTAAATAAAAAATCAAAAGAGAAAGGGAGAAACCTCACTTAGGCCCGTGACCCTTGCGTCTAACCACCAACCTCCAGGTTGACTCGCAGTGGCTAGGGAGTGCGAGTCACTGCCAGGGCTCCGCGGTTGGGCCTGGATTGGCTCAGGGCGAGAGGTTTTGGTGCGACGGGTGAAGTTTTGGCTAGTGTGGGCGGCGCGATTGGAGTCTCTGCGGTGGCTAGGGATTAGAGTGTGAGAAGGAGAGGGGGTGAGGCTGGAAATAGTGCGCCGTGATGGGAGAGAGAGCGGAGGTTCGTTGCGGTAGTGCTTGTGGGTATGGTGGTGACCGGAGCTGAGGGAGGAAGCTAGGATTTAGTGTGGATGGGTTGTTGGGAATGTGGGTGAGAATGAAGGTAGTGGGGCGGTGGTTGGGTGGTGGGAATGGTTCCAGGAGGCTGGGAAAATGATTAGGATGGCGAGTGAGGTGCGGGTTAACCTGGAAGCGGTGGATGAGGGGGCTTAGCCGCGGGAGATGAGGGTGTTGGGCGAAGTGATGGTGGTGAGCTAGGGTGAATGGAGGAGGGACCGGGAGGCGATTTAGAAGGTGAAGATGCGGTGCTGCTGGGAGAAGATAAGGGAAGGGGAAGAGAATGAGATGAAAGGTGAGTGAAGGTTGGGTGATTGTGTGAAGCGGGAGGGGCTCAGAAGAATGAATGAGAGCAAAGCCACCAGTGCAAGGAAGAGGAGAAAAAAAAGGGTGAAATCTGGTTCTGGAAAAATGGCTCCAATGTTGTATTTGTGCGGCTCCTTCCCCATTTTTCACTATTACTCCTTTCTAAAGAACAATTTCTTTAGGTCAAAGAGTAAAAGGAAATAGGTTCAAAAAGAGATGAAAAAAATTTAAAATAAATTAGAGATGAAAACTTTTATTTACAATTATTTATTATTATTTTTTTAATATTTTTTCATTTTTTTATAACATTTTTTAAAATATAAAATATTAATAAGAATTTTTTTTTTTGTAATTTTTTATATTTTTTAAATAAACACTATTATTTATTATTATATTTTTTTATGTACCCGAGAAAATGGGTACTGACACCTAATAAGTTCGCCACATCAATTTTAGTACGAATATAATTAAGAAAAATCAAATTCCTATAAATGAAAGATAGATAATTTATTAGTTAAAAATAAGTGTTAAACTCTAACTATTAATCATAAAATGTTAATTACCACTTTTATGTTAATAATTATTTGTAATTATGTTGCAAGTAAGTTTAAAAATAAATTGTAAAAAGGAAGGTACGTACCATTTAAAATATTTTGTCTCAATAAATAAAAAGACATTTCGTCTGGTGGAGTTGGAAATTTGTATTAAAAAAAATAAATGTAGATGAAAAAACTCCTCGCCTTATTTTTTGAATTTATAAATTTTTGAAAATTTTTTATGTGGAAAGATATTTTGACTATCAATATTTAATATTAAACTTTAAATATTATAAAATAATTATAAATATTGTTAATCCAAAAAAAATTGATCTTAATATTTTTTTTAATTTAGAAATATAATATTAATTATAGAATATTACTCTACTTATTTATTCTTAACTCGTGATTTTTTAGTTGGTTATCCAATTTTTATTTTATAATGGTGATTTTAATCTTTTTGTTTATTGCCCAATTTTTATTTTCAAGTAGGTGAGTTTGTTACCTAATTATTCGCTATATAAAACAGTAACGCCGCCATAAAAGTGTAACAGTGAAAGTCTCACATAACCTAGACTTTCAAACACTCAGACATTCATTTTTGCTTTCAAATGGCATACAGCCTTCGTTTTTCAGTAATAACAACTCTCGTCCTTTTATTTATCGTCGTGGCGGCGCTTCCGGCTGCGGCGAAGCAATGCGACGCCAAATTTGAGGGAGGCTGTCGCGATAAGGCGGAGTCGCTGAAGCTAAAGGTGATAGCGATATTCTGTATACTTGTGTCGAGTGTGATCGGGATTTCACTCCCGCTGTTTTCCCGTTCAGTTCCCAAACTGCAACCCGACGGCGACCTCTTCGTTCTAGTGAAGGCTCTCTCCTCCGGCGTCATACTCGCCACCGGTTACATGCACGTGATGCCGGACTCTTTCAATGATCTCACGTCAGGGTGCCTGCCGGAACATCCGTGGCGGAAGTTTCCGTTCACCACCTTCATCGCCATGCTCTCCGCGATTCTCACTCTCGTCATTGATTCCTTCTCCATCAGTTTCTTTAAGAAGAAGCTCGCTGCCGCTAATACCGCTAACGGTTCCGGTACCGCTTCCATTGAAGCCGGAGAGAGAAAGGAAGTGGAACTATTTGGCGATGGTGATGTCCATGGCCATGCAATTAGAGATGCAAAAAAGGTGGATGCTGAACAGTTACTGCGGTACCGTGTTGTGGCTCAGGTTAGTTTTAAAAAATAAATTACATGTCAAAGTTTAAATTACACATTTATATTTTTCTCAAATTAATTCTAGTTTTTTTTTCTTGTACCAATTGCTTTAAAAAAATAAAAAAATATTACATTGTTATTTATTCATGCATTATATACACGTATCATATATACATTGGCTTGAATTTAAAAACATTAAGAAATGTAATTGTAATTTATTAACTATAACTTTAATTTCAAATTTACCTTCACATAACACGATATTTGGTAGCTACCTTCTAAATGTTTAAGGGTATGACATATGAATACGAAATATTTAACAGATATAAATTTAGATTAAAATGTCCTTATTTATTGATGATTAATCTAGGATAATAGATAGTGATTTGAAATAGTTATATATAATTTAGAAAAAAAAATTATGTTTTTAAAATCTAAATTATGAATTGTTGTGAAAAAAATAGTTAAATGATTAAAAGTATAATGGGGAAGTAATAAATTGTAGTTATATTTTAAATTATACAACCTGTTATCTTGTTTTTATATCTTATATCATATTACTCGTCTCTCCTTCTCTTACTCTTGTTTTGGAGGATTTAATTTGATGATTTCATGTGGCATGTGAAATGGTTAAGATGTTGGAACTAGGGATTGTGGTACACTCAGTGGTGATTGGTTTGTCACTGGGAGCTTCCGTGAACCCGTGCACCATTAGGCCTCTCATTGCTGCGCTGTGCTTCCATCAAATGTTTGAAGGAATGGGCTTAGGTGGTTGCATACTTCAGGTGATTCATCTTATCTTCAAAAGTGTAGTTTTCTGATTTATTGATGGTATCTTGTGATGCACCGATAAGTTGGCAAGCCCAATCTATTCATATTCATATATATTCCATACCGATTTATGTCGATATTTATAAAATTTATATAATAAAAAGAATAAAAAAATCTAAATAAAAATAAAATAATAAATATTTTTCTGTTATTATTATTTTTAAATTAATAAAACAGACATAAAAGTTATTATTATTTAGAGTGATAATATTATTTCTATTTCTAAATAATAAGTAGTTATTATTAATTTTTTTTTTTAATTTTTTTTTTTTTTAAGTAGGATATCCTGTACTCGTATGTGCATCATAGACTGTATCTAAAGAAGTGAGTGAGTGTAGTTTGTTCATCTGTGACAGGCTGAATATGGAATGAAGATGAAAGCTATTTTGGTTTTCTTTTTCTCTACGACAACGCCCTTTGGGATTGCATTGGGGATCGCATTGTTGAATGTGTATAGCGACACGAGTTCAACCTCGCTTATCGTGGAGGGGGTTCTGAATGCTGTATCTGCAGGACTTTTGAACTATATGGCGCTTGTTGAACTATTGGGTTCTGATTTTATGGGGCCTAAGCTACAAGGGAGTACAAAGCTCATGGTTTTGGCTTTTCTGGCAGTTTTGTTAGGTGCAGGGGGCATGTCAGTCATGGCAATATGGGCATAGATATTGAAATTTTATTTTGTGGATTAGAAATTCATTGTCATGGCAATGGCAATATGGGCATAGATTTTGAAATTTAATTTTTTTGAGTAGAAACTAATTGCTTCATTTTTTTTTATCTGCGGCAAAATGTAGAGCACGTTCAATTTATTTTATGAAAAATTTAGCCACCATTGATTTTGTGATTACATAGAAATGCCTGACGAGTTTGTAACGAACTGAAATTATTCTTATAAATTTGGTCAACCAGAAGATCAGTGATATCTACACAATCCTAACCAAAATAAAAGTTATATCCACAATATAATATATATTTATGAACACTTAACTAACTAAAAGTCATCTATGATGTGGAAGAACTCTTTTTGTTAAAACTGACTATTATTTTGATTAGAGTCAAAGGATGTTGAACTATTTGTAAAAATATTACGAATATCAGTTTATATAATTTATACTTTATTTATATATTATTTCTCCGAAACTACTCTTCCAAACAAATCCATGTTAACTTTATATTTTGTTATGAGATTTTTTAACTAAACAAATAACTGAGAAAACATAAACTGCTGTTGAAGATTGTTGTTTTTCCAATTTCCAAACCCATATTTAATAAATAATAAAACTAAATAACATCATTTTAATATATAAAATTTGACCAATTTTAAAAATCCAATCATACATAGTTATCTAAATCACTTTAGAACATATTTTCCACACTTAATCTATGTATACTGAAGTAATATTATATAATCGTTCAACAATAAAAAATGACTACAATCTCATGTATATATTTTTTTAACTTTTAATTTAGTTACCTCAATACTTTTTATTATTTTGTGTGTGTCTTTTTTATTTTTAGTATTATTATTAAAGACATTTGTAGAAGAAAAATATTTATACAAATTTTAAAAATATTTGTATATTTTTTTAAGATTAAAACAATTATTTAAGTTATGTAAAAATGAAAATAGAAAAACAGAAATTTAAACCCAAATCAAACTCTGTTGAAACGGTTGAAAAGTGCCTCTTCATAAAGTTGTCTTTATTTTATTTTTATAAATTTCAATTAGTAGCCTAAATATACAGAACTACACATATTTTATTTATGACAAAAAATTTTGTTTTTACGCATTCTCTTCCTTTCGACTTAATTTCTTTTTTCTCAAGACAAAGCATAGAAAGGAAATGAAAAGGCCCGACCCGTGTTAAGATCTAACCCAATCACGCTGAATAACCCAAATAGCTTTCCTCAGTTGCGCAATTCTGAGTCCAAGATCAACTCAACGTAGCTACATTGCATTCGAGTAGATATGTATGTATAGAGAATCTTGATAGCACACTGGAATTGAATGAAAGCCGAAGCAGAATGGATCAATCGCAGAATCAGCGACCAGCGACATCGACAGCTCCCTCGCGCTCTTTCCAGTTCCACCCTGCTCGTGGCCCCATTCTCGATCTCTTCAACCTAATTATTATATAGTTACAGCTTGATTGGCTAAGTAGTCACTTTCGTCCACTGCAAGCAATATGTTTGATATATTGCCTTAAAGAAAACAAGCACCTTTTGTTAAAGTCATTTGACTCTTTTATTTGCTTGGAAGGTAACTCTTAGTTTCAGCACAATGGGTCGAAATTTTTTTGAGCTACTTTACTGTGGAAACCATTTTATTAGAACCAACAAGTTTGCAGCCTTCTACCTGAACTCTATGTTTTATCACTCTTCAAAAGACGCTCCCAGCCTGCAATGGTATCAGAATGGGTTTCTCAAGGTGAAAGAGTTGACCCATTTGCTAGGAAATGTGGATGAAGTTAATGGTAGACTTGTTGATATAAAGAGCAATTCAACCTTTTTTGATGATGACATTGAGCGTGAAATGTCTACCTTCAAGTCCCTTGTTCGTGAGTTTGTTGGGTCTGCAATTGTTCAGCACAAAATGAAACATGTCCAGGCCTCTTTCATCACAAATGCAAAACATGAATCTTTTACCCCTTTTAGTAAAGCAACTGAAAGAGATCCTATGGTGGTTGACTCACTGACCAAAGTGAGCAACTTTCTCAATGTTTCTGCTCAACAAAGGAAGTTGGTTCGTCTAAGAGTGTGCCCCCAGGTTACTCAACATCGCATATGGACTGGTGCACTTAAAGAAGTTCTGAATGATTTTGCAGTTGATTTGGATTTTTTGTCTTCTCAGGGCTTAAACAATGATATTTTGTTAGGTGGCCAAATTGTTCATAGCTGTTTGAAGTTTCTTACTGAAATTGGTGTCTTTTCAGACACCGAGTCATCTTCTTGGATGAAGCTTTCACCTTCTAAAATGCTTGCCTCTGACCCACGAAAATGGGAAGATGTTCTTATAATGTTCAATGATCTGATTGAATGCTGTAAAAAGGAAGTAAGGTTGAAGTTCCATGTAGCTAAAGCTGAGATCATGAAGGAGGGGCTTTTGCACATAAGGGATGTTTCAGTTGACAACAGTGTTGGATACAAGGAAGCTCAGCATCAAGAAAGCCTGGTGAGGAAGAAGCTTTCCAAAATGTTGGGTCACTCCTCTCGTTGCATATTCACTCTATTACTGTATTATCTCTATGGAAGGGTGGTGGATATTGAAGTAGACATGCGTGGTGGGGTCTATGCAAATGGAAGTGATGGCAAGTTTTGCTTGTTTATGGGAAGAATCTTGTCTTCGGATAGTGAGAAGATGGTTGGGCGAGGGGTGAAGCAGTTGGACCGGGCACTTGGAATTTTCAAGTTTGTGTGGGAAATGGCTGGAATGAAAGGGCATTTGGACTTGCAGGGCCATATGTGGTGTGTTGGAGCAGACAGTAGGGTGCTTAGGTATAGAGGTAACACGTACTTTGTGCATGGAATTTGCCTTTGATTATAGATTTTTGTATCACTGCATCATCTAATCCTACTTCATGGTGCTAATATATCCCCACGTTGAAGGTGGCAATGACAACTCAAATTTGCGGTGTGTTCATGTAATTCAATCAAAATTCAAAGAAATTTACAAACAACCACCTCACTTTAAAATGAACTCTAGAGAGCAAAATAATTAGTTTATGTTTTTCTACTAGTTACTTTTTGATAAATGATTCCTTGTGATTTTTTTTTTGAATTATTGGGTTATGTTTTTTTTACTTTCCAGTGGTATACTTGTGATGCAACTAATCAGTCTTTAACATTCCAAGACTACAAGGATTAATCCTTTCTTTACTTTAGAAACTATAGTGTGATGCCTTGTGGTATATTTGGAGAGCGAGATGCTGTCTTATTTTCCAAGGTGCGAATTTAAATACCATGGTCATATTGAATTAGCAATTGGGGCGTGAGCCCCATGCGCAAATGAAAGATGGACACGATTGGTTTCTTGCGGGTCTCCTTAACTTTTGGATCAAAGGTTGTCACAAAAGATAAAGTGGTTACTTATGGTATATTGCAAGGTAATGTTTTCTTTTTATTTCCTCAAACTTTTGTGTTGACTCATTGTAGTGTGTAACTGTGGATGGTTGTCAAAACTGTTTGAGCCAATGATGCCAAGCTAACAGTGAACTCCAATGGGCATGTGTTTCATATATTTGTTAATGGAGTACAAACAGTAAGTCCTGACTAAAATTTCTTCTACAATTCTAATTTTTATAATATAGCTTGCCATGTTGAAATCTTATATTCTTCATTTCATGCATGTACCTCACAGGTTACTAGTATGATAAAAATGGGCAATACTCATTCACCTACGGGTCAAGAACAATTTGAAGTTAGGAAAAAAATGAGATAAATACATAGTCAGTGGTACTCTTGGTTTACGTGTAAGTAACAACCACACATGTCATAAAGGCATTAATTATGTCAGCATTGGTGTTCATTTGGTAACTAGTAGTAATCTCTTCATTCTAACATTACTATGCTGCTTGCTTTGTCCCTGTCGGGGTTCGTTGTTCAGTTCAATTGGTATCAATAAAGAATAACCCTCTCGTCAAGTATATCTATCACCAATAATCTATGGAATTTATAAGTTGGGGTTACATGGTTAAATTGTGTAGCAATCCAGATAGCAATGGAGAATGGTAGACAGATTCTCTTTCAACTGATATAGTATTTGTTTGGTACAAGGCATAACTTTTGTCTCTTTTCAGTTGTTTAAATTTATAAAGTATCGTACTTACTTTCAGATTCTTACATTTTTAAAGTTGGAATGATTAATTTCAGGAACAAGACAAAGAAACGTGTACACGCACGTAATCGGGAGCTTCCTCCACCAAATGAGCAATTCATTCTAGATTATGAGCAACTTTAGAGCCAGTTTCCTGTGATTTTGAAGGGGAAACTGACATTTTATTTAATTTCAGAAGGATTGAGTGACTAATAGTTTGGCCATAAGCATGATTTACTACAAAATTATGGTGTTGATTGATTCATGTAGCTGACTTCACCAAGTGGTAAAATCCTGGGTTGTTGTTGTTTATGTGTTGATTATGTGTTTCCTTTCAGGACCAAGATCAATTACGTTCTGTTACGGAAGCAATTCTTATATCGCTATTAGTGCAGTGTAGTTGCCATGGACCAAGGGCAGACTTTTTTCTATTTGTTTTATGGAGCTTATGTGGTATTGGATGCATCAACTGGGACTCGCTTCTGCCCTCCCTTCTTTCTTCGGTTTCTTCTGCAGAATTGCCTGTTGGTCAACTGAGTCAAGCAGTGCCAACCGATTCCTCATCGAGCTTATCACAGACAGGAATGCTGCCCCCTCCAAGCACGATTGCTAATTCTTCTAATTTTCAGTCTTCAAATCCTGCTTCTCCTTTAACCTCTGTTCATACTATTGGCTCCCCTGCACAGTCAACGATTGAACCATTATCATGTTCAGCTATGTCTCCTGTCAAATCATCTGATATTTCCTCTGCTGGACAACAATCTAAACTAGGAGGCAGCTCATCTATTAGAAGTAATGATATAAGTAATAATAGTAGCCTTTGTCAGCTATGTTGCAAGATTATTTTAACTGGTCTTGAGTTCAGTTTAAAACCAGTAACTTATGCGGAAATCTTCAATCATATGCTGAATTGGTTGGTGAATTAGGACCAGAGGCAACAGGGAATGGATGAATCTGATGTAATAAAATCATGAAGACCTGACAAAGCTGTAATTGGCAAGAACAGGATGCAACCTGTGGTAACTGCTTTTTTTCATTTAGAACATTCACAGTTTGAGGATTAGATCAGTTTCTTTATGTATAGAGTACTTTTTTAAGCTCATTTAGTCTCACAAGATTTTTTCATGAATGTTAATATTGTTTTTAATTTCAATATACTCAATTTTTTTTTTCTCAATTCTTTCAATATGTTTGGACAGGGTATAGTTGTGTTCGCATCAGCTATGGCAACTCTCGGATTGCAAATATTGTTTGAATCGGCAAGAGAAATAATCACAAAGGTATAAATGTGAAGTAATTAGCATAAGTAATTAACTATCATTGCTTGATAGAGTCTGTGTTACGAACATAATGTATGGTTCATTTACTAACAGGCTCAACCTGAGAGGGATCCAGTGAAAGAAAAGTGGATGATAGGGATAATGGTGGCAGCCACCTTGGTAAAAGTAGCACTAATGACTTATTGTCGCAGGTTCAAGAATGAAATAGTGAGGGCCTATGCTCAGGACCATTTCTTTGATGTCATTACAAACTCCATTGGTCTAGCCACTGCAGTTCTGGCCATCAAATTCTACTGGTGGCTTGACCCTGTTGGAGCCATCCTGGTATCTTCATCTATGTTTCTTTTCTTTAGCTTTTATTTAATCACACAAATAAGGCTTGAATGCATTATCTGTTAAAACATGACTTTATATTGTTTTAGACTCTCAAAATTTTTATTCTTTACATTTAGCATAAATAATGTTTTTGACCAGAGACTAAAAGCATGTGATTTTGTAATTTTGAAAGATTGAAACAGAATAAATGTTACACGTGCATGCAGATAGCTTTATATACAATCAGTAACTGGGCAAAAACAGTGATGGAGAATGTGTGGTCATTGATTGGCAAAACAGCTCCACCAGAATTCCTTGCAAAGCTAACATATCTTTGTTGGAACCATAACAAGGAGATCAAGCACATAGACACTGTGAGGGCCTACACGTTTGGATCCAATTACTTTGTGGAGGTAGACATTGTGGTGTCAGAAGAAATGTCACTTGCTCAAGCGCACGACATTGGAGAGACACTTCAAGATAAGCTTGAAAAACTCCCCGAAATTGAGAGAGCCTTCGTCCACACTGACTTCAACATAACTCATAAACTCGAGCACAAGCCCAAGGTGGTGTAGAAAACCAAGAAAACTATTAGGCCATGTTTTAAGAGTGACTACGATGGATTTGGTTAGCATGTAGATTTTATTTTTTGTTTAGTAATCGTGGATTTACATTGCCATTGTGTGAAACTTATGTATTCTGTAAAATGTTTTTAGCAAAAATATAAATAAATGTGAGGTACTTTACTGAGCATGGATATTCAATCTTCGGTAGGTAGGCATGGGTAATCCAGGGCTGCATTCCTCCGGTCCAATAATTTCTTCTGCACCCTCATAATATAAAATGTAAAAAATAATTGTCCTCGAGGTTACTTTCTTCTTCCAGGCCACACTACATGTACCTCTATTTATTGCATTTCACACATCTTTATTAAGTATTATTTTATTTTAAGGTTAGAAATTTGTTGGTAATTTATACTTTGAAACATGTTTTGCATCCAAAAATTTCATAAAAAATCATATTTGATTTGTATATGTGATGTTCCGAAGCATATACCCATAATCAAGTTGGAGAGAGAAAAGTAAGGCTGATCCGGTGTTAAATCATATACCCATAATCAAGTTTTTCACAATTGGTTTGGTGGCATGACGAAGTGCAACAAATGGGTTTGTTCACAAGCTTTGCTGACATTTAGATCATTTAGTGCATGCACATCTAGTCTGCTTTTTCATTCAAGAATTTTGTTCACGAGCATTACTCTTCATCTCCATTCACAAAAACATTGTTTCAAACTTCTTCTACCACTATAACATCCAATCACAATTTGAATGAAACCGGTCCTTAAAGCATTTTCGTATATTAAAGAATTTAGGTAGAAATAATGGACATTTATATAATAATGTAATGCACTAAATCAATTTTAACATAAAATTGGTAGCAGCCTACAATGACAAACAAAAGTACTTTTCACTAAAAATATTTTATGTTTGACTCTATCAAGAAAAACTTATAAACCATAGAGACTAAAGGAATAAAGCTAAATAAAGCTAAATAAAACAATAAATAAAGCAATAAAAGAGAAGAGAATTGAAAAGAACCTCCGTAGCAAGCTTGATATTGAGAATCTCGAACCGTGAAGATGCGTTTTGGCAACCCCTCTCTCTACACAGACTCTCCTCACCAATACAGGATCGACTCTACTAAAAATTTAAAGAAGAATCGAATGCCGGAATATAATTCCTTAACCGATTGTTACCTATTTAAGGCAATCGGAAAGATCATTCAAGAGAGGGAGAGAAATAGACAAGTGCTCTGAGTTTTAGAAAGTGTTTCAGAGCTCTCTGGGATGTCTGGGGTGTGAAAAAGTGGCAAATGAGCCTCCTATTTATAGTTTTTCGCAGCTGGCGCACTTTGGGACGGCCGTCCGGGTGGGACGGCCGCTCCGGACTGGGACGGCCGTCCCAAATGGCAAAATTACACCACCGGGAACCCGGGACGGCCGTCCCACATAACCGGGGCTTGGGACGGCCGTCCCAACTTCGGGACGCGCGTCCCAACTGGCCGGGCAGGTTGGGACGGCCGTCCCAACCTGGGACGGCCGTCTCAACCTGTTCTGGCCAGTTTCGCGCGTTTCGGGACTCCGGGAAGCTTTCCTTGCTTGTTTTGGACGTCAGTTGATGCCGATATGTGTCTATTGGAGCTTTATCTTCATATGGGAAGTCTCCTTGGCTCTTATTTGTAATGCTAGACGAGCTTTATCTTGTTACGGGTGATCTCCTTTATCTTTATTTGAGAGGCCGGGCAATTCTTATATCGCTAGTAGTGCAGTGTAGTGGCCATGGACCAAGGGCAGACTTTCTTCTATCTGTTTTACGGAGCTTATGTGGTATTGGATGCATCAACTGGGACTCCCTTCTGCCCTCCCTTCTTTCTTGGTTTCTTCTGCAGAATTGCCTGTTGGTCAACTGAGTCAAGCAGTGCCAACGGTTTCCTCATCGAGCTTATCACAGACAGGAATGCTGCCACCTCCAAGCACGATTGCTAATTCTTCTAATTTTCAGTCTTCAAATCCTGCTTCTCCTTTAACCTCTGTTCATACTATTGGCTCCCCTGCACAGTCAACGATTGGACCATTATCATGTTCAGCTATGTCTCCTGTCATATCATCTGATATTTCCTCTGCTGGACAACAATATCTACTAGAAATAATGATATTAGTAATAGTAGCCTTCGTCAGCTGTGTTGCATGATTATTTTAACTGGTCTTGAGTTCAATCAATAATTTAATTTTATATTCACAATATAAAATGTAAAAAAAAAAATTGTCCTCAAGGTTACTTTCTTCTTCCAGGCCACATGTACCTCTATTTATTGAATTTCCCACATCTTTATTAAGTATTGTTTTATTTTAAGGTTAGAAATTTGTTGGTAATTTATACTTTTGAAACATGTTTTGCATCCAAAAATTCCAATAAAATCATATTTGATTTGTACATGTGATGTTCCGGATTTTTGAATCTGAAATAAATTTTTTAAAATCACAATTTGAAAATAAATTTCAAATAAACTAACTTAGAATGCATTTTTGAATTGTATTTTTAAAAAATATATCCCTAATTGTTGAATCAAAATATATTTTCAAAAAATATAATTTGAAAATGAAAAACATAATCTAGAACTTGTTTATAGATTTTATTTTTTGAAAATATATTTCAGAAATGATTTGAAATCAGTTTTTTGAATATATTCTAAAAAATCCAATCTAAAAATACGTTTAAAAAAAATATAATTCAATAAACTTTTAAAACATATTTACATAAAGATAATATTATCATTTTAAATAAATATAAAAATTTTAATATAGCCGTTATCATTAAATAAAATTTCGTATGTAATGATTTTTCTATCTTTTAATTTTTACTGAGTAAAGTTGAGTAGATTTTGTGCTCTATTTATTTATTAATAATAAGTTTTTTTCTCTCAAATCAATGCAATTTTTTTACAAACGTATCAAAAGTGGGCATATATACTGTATTAACAGAGTCATTGGTTAAATAATTCGGTCACTAATTGAACTTCACAAATAGATAATAATATATTAGTGTTACTATTTAAAATATAACAAAAAAATGTAAATAAAAGATGTAAAATAACTTTTTTTTAACTGACTATTATTTTGATTAGAATAGAAGGATGTTGAACTATTTGTAAAAATATTACAAATATCAGTTTATATAATTTATACTTTATTTTTTACATATTATTTCTCCAAAACTACTTTTCTAAACAAATCCATGTTAACGTTATATTTTGTTATGCGAGATATTTTAACTGAACTAATAACTGAGAAAATATAAACTTCTGTTGAAGATGGTTATTTTTCCAATTTCCAAACCCATATTTAATAAATAATAAAAATAATAACATCATTTTAATATATAAAATTTGACCAATTTTAAAAATCCTATCATACATAATTTAGTAAGGGTACTTATCTAAATCCCTTTAAAACATATTCTACACACTTAATCCATGTATACTGAAGTAATATTATATAATCGTTCAACAATATAAAATGACTAAAATCTCATGTATATATTTTTTAAACTTTTAATTTAGTTACCTCAATACTATTTATTAATATTATATTTTTTTATAATAAATTATAAAATTATGCAGGAACTCACAAAGGATTTTACTTAGGTTAATTAATAGATCATACTAAAATATTCACAATTCCAACAAATTAAAGATTTTATCCTATGTCAAGAGTTGTGAATTTTGCATGGACCTGCCAAGCCCAAATCTCGATCAAACATGTAATTCATATATTTTGATATTTTTATTTATGATATTATTTTGTGTGTGTCTCTTTTATTTCTATTATTATTATTATTATTATTATTATTATTATTATTATTATTATTAATATTATTAAAGACATTTGTAGAAGAAAAATATTTATACAAATTTTAAAAACATTTGTATATTTTTAAAGATTAAAACAATTATTTAAGTTATGTAAAAATGAAAAAAAAAACAGATATGAAAACCCAAATCAAACTTTGTTGAAACTGTTGAAAAGTGCTTCTTCATAAAATTGTTTTTATTTTAATTTATTTTTTATAAATTTCAATTAGTAGCCTAAATATACAGAACTACACATATTTTATTTATGAGAAAAAATTTTGTTTTTACGCATTCTCTTCCTTTCGACTTAATTTCTTTTTTCTCAAGACAAAGCATAGAAAGGAAATGAAAAGGCCCGACCCGTGTTAAGATAACCCAATCACGCTGAATAACCCAAATAGCTTTCCTCAGTTGCGCAATTCTGAGTCCAAGATCAACTCAACGTAGCTACATTGCATTCGAGTAGATATGTATGTATAGAGAATCTTGATAGCACACTGGAATTGAATGAAAGCCGAAGCAGAATGGATCAATCGCAGAATCAGCGACCAGCGACATCGACAGCTCCCTCGCGCTCTTTCCAGTTCCACCCTGCTCGTGGCCCCATTCTCGATCTCTTCAACCTAATTATTATATAGTTACAGCTTGATTGGCTAAGTAGTCACTTTCGTCCACTGCAAGCAATATGTTTGATATATTGCCTTAAAGAAAACAAGCACCTTTTCTTAAAGTCATTTGACTCTTTTATTTGCTTGGAAGGTAACTCTTAGTTTCAGCACAATGGGTCGAAATTTTTTTGAGCTACTTTACTGTGGAAACCATTTTATTAGAACCAACAAGTTTGCAGCCTTCTACCTGAACTCTATGTTTTATCACTCTTCAAAAGACGCTCCCAGCCTGCAATGGTATCAGAATGGGTTTCTCAAGGTGAAAGAGTTGACCCATTTGCTAGGAAATGTGGATGAAGTTAATGGTAGACTTGTTGATATAAAGAGCAATTCAACCTTTTTTGATGATGACATTGAGCGTGAAATGTCTACCTTCAAGTCCCTTGTTCGTGAGTTTATTGGGTCTGCAATTGTTCAGCACAAAATGAAACATGTCCAGGCCTCTTTCATCACAAATGCAAAACATTAATCTTTTACCCCTTTTAGTAAAGCAACTGAAAGAGATCCTATGGTGGTTGACTCACTGACCAAAGTGAGCAACTTTCTCAATGTTTCTGCTCAGCAAAGGAAGTTGGTTCGTCTAAGAGTGTGCCCCCAGGTTACTCAACATCGCATATGGACTGGTGCACTTAAAGAAGTTCTGAATGATTTTGCAGTTGATTTGGATTTTTTGTCTTCTCAGGGCTTAAACAATGATATTTTGTTAGGTGGCCAAATTGTTCATAGCTGTTTGAAGTTTCTTACTGAAATTGGTGTCTTTTCAGACACCGAGTCATCTTCTTGGATGAAGCTTTCACCTTCTAAAATGCTTGCCTCTGACCCACGAAAATGGGAAGATGTTCTTGTAATGTTCAATGATCTGATTGAATGCTGTAAAAAGGAAGTAAGGTTGAAGTTCCATGTAGCTAAAGCTGAGATCATGAAGGAGGGGCTTTTGCACATAAGGGATGTTTCAGTTGACAACAGTGTTGGATACAAGGAAGCTCAGCATCAAGAAAGCCTGGTGAGGAAGAAGCTTTCCAAAATGTTGGGTCACTCCTCTCGTTGCATATTCACTCTATTACTGTATTATCTCTATGGAAGGGTGGTGGATATTGAAGTAGACATGCGTGGTGGGGTCTATGCAAATGGAAGTGATGGCAAGTTTTGTTTGTTTATGGGAAGAATCTTGACTTCGGATAGTGAGAAGATGGTTGGGCGAGGGGTGAAGCAGTTGGACCGGGCACTTGGAATTTTCAAGTTTGTGTGGGAAATGGCTGGAATGAAAGGGCATTTGGACTTGCAGGGCCATATGTGGTGTGTTGGAGCAGACAGTAGGGTGCTTAGGTATAGAGGTAACACGTACTTTGTGCATGGAATTTGCCTTTGATTATAGATTTTTGTATCACTGCATCATCTAATCCTACTTCATGGTGCTAATATATCCCCACGTTGAAGGTGGCAATGACAACTCAAATTTGCGGTGTGTTCATGTAATTCAATCAAAATTCAAAGAAATTTACAAACAACCACCTCACTTTAAAATGAACTCTAGAGAGCAAAATAATTAGTTTATGTTTTTCTACTAGTTACTTTTTGATAAATGATTCCTTGTGATTTTTTTTTTCTACTTGAATTATTGGGTTATGTTTTTTTTACTTTCCAGTGGTATACTTGTGATGCAACTAATCAGTCTTTAACATTCCAAGACTACAAGGATTAATCCTTTCTTTACTTTAGAAACTATAGTGTGATGCCTTGTGGTATATTTGGAGAGCGAGATGCTGTCTTATTTTCCAAGGTGCGAATTTAAATACCATGGTCATATTGAATTGGCAATTGGGGCGTGAGCTCCATGCGCAAATGAAAGATGGACACGATTGATTTCTTGCGGGTCTCCTTAACTTTTGGATCAAAGGTTGTCACAAAAGATAAAGTGGTTACTTATGGTATATTGCAAGGTAATATTTTCTTTTTATTTCCTCAAACTTTTGTGTTGACTCATTGTAGTGTGTAACTGTGGATGGTTGTCAAAACTATTTGAGCCAATGGAAAACGATACTTTGACAACCGAAAAAAAAAACATCTGTTCGACAACTGGGGCCAAAAATAAATTAATTAAAAATAAGGGTTTGATTAGTAAAATTGTAGGGGGTCAGAGATGTAATATTGTAAAAATGGGGGATGTTATGTTAAAAAGTGAAATATATGTTTGAAGAAGGTACAGTATTTTTCGCTTGATACATTCTCACTCAACCTCGCTCGACTTCCTCTCGCTCGACTTAGGGTAAATTTTCGCTTGTCTTCTCCGTCTCGCTCTTCACGGCGCTCGACTTCCTCTCGCTTGTCTTCCTCCGTGTCGTTAGAGTTGGACATCACTGTCTGTCGCTTGAGCGACCCTGCGGTGAGTGTTCGTTTAACAACATTTGCTTGATTTTGTGTGTATTTTTGATTGGGTTTCCATTGTTGTTTTCTTTTCTGTTTATCTTTGATTGGGTTTGTAATGAAGGTGTTTTTCACGGTTTAGGGTTAATTGAGTTGTGATGCTATATTAATGTCGAACAAGTGTTTGATGAAATTCTATAATGAAGAATTGTATTTGCGCATTCTTGCTTTGTTTTCTGTTTATCTTTGATTGGGTTTGTAATGAAAGTATTCTGTAGGGTTTAGGGTTAATTGAGCTGTGATGCTATATTAATGTCCAACAAGTGTTTGATGAAATGCTACAATGAAGAATTGTATTTGCATATGCACATTTTGTATAATATGCACAAGATTTACATTTGGCGAATAATGTAATATTGTGAACAGTTGCAATGTTTTGAACATCTATTGTCGCTGTTGGAAACAAAGTCATCGAGGACCACTGGAGAACTTAAGGTTACAAAGGAGGACTTGCCAATTCAACCAAACATGTTAGTATGTTATTATAGTTGAAATTTTGTTTGCAAAATGTTGTATGTAATGTGTGTAATAACTACATTCAATTGTGCAGGTATGATTGTGGATTGTTTGTTTTAAAATATATGGAGTTGTGGGATGGTGTGAGCAAAGTGAATGGGAAAAGCATGCCTCATTACACATCGATAAACATTAAAGTCATTGTATTATTGTTTTGTTTTTTATTACTATGAATATAATTTATTATGACATTCTTCATATTGTACGAGAGCAAGTTCGAAATTTCGAGAAGAATATGTATGCAGATGGGTACTTCATCCTCAAAATCTTCATCGACAAGTTATGGTTATTGAATCAGGAGTTAACATCCTCATCTAGGAATAGAAATGTAGATATTGTATTTGATTATTTGTTCATCTTCATTGATGAATGTTGTACAGTTTATTCATATGTAATATAACTGTTAAGTTGGTTATGGATCATTTAAATGTTAAATATGATGATATTAACAAGTGATTGATTTTTGGACCATGGTTACTATTTTTTGTATCATTTTTTTTTATTTTGACAATTACATTATTGATTGGGTTTTACTGTCCCAGTTGCACAATATCCCTATTCAGATGATGCAGACTATCTCCATGTAACAGAGAGTGTATATTGAGAACCACAGTTGTACAAAATACATGTAATTACTACCAGATTTATATGTTACGAACATATGAAGATGAAGATGCTCCTCTATAGTATTAATTGTTAAAGGGCATGTTGGATTGGTTGATAAGGGTAGAACTATCCTCATACCACATACTTGGATGATATATGGAGCATGGCCACCACCCACTCTCACTGCTCAAGTAAACATCATAGTAACATTAACAATCGGCCAAGTATAACTTAGTTCCACAAAACAAAATGGTCATTAATTTTCAATTGAATTTCTGATGGCAAGATGTTGATATGTAATATAAAAGAAGAAATTCAGATTAAAAGAACAAGGGAAGAGAACAATATAAACTAGCATATGGAAATTGTACAAGTGATAAGATTTATTGTAGGAAAGATGTATAGCTTTACGTATCATCTTTGTACATATCAGATAACTTCATGCTTAATAGTTGTAAAGAATGCACTTAACAAAAAACAGATTAAAATTTGCATGTCATGTCAAGTTCAGCCTTGGCCACAGACGAAATATCCAATGCAGTTAGCCACATACTGTAACATGGATAACCACATATTTGAATCACTTGCCGCTCGACCGAGAATAACATCGCTTGAGCGAGAAAAAACCTGAGAGTCCCTATTTTTTGTAAGGGTACCTCGCTCAAGCGATGAATTTCTCGCTTGAACAAGTGTTGGCCGTACACGAAACGTCCAACGTAGGTAGACACATAATATGACATGGGTCACCACATATTCGAATCAGTTGTCGCTCGAGCGATAATAACATCGTTTGAGCGATTGAAACATCGCTTGAGCGAGACAGAACCCGAAAATCCCAATTGTTTGAAGGTTTTGTCGCTTAAGCGATGGTTTCGTCGCTTGAGCAAGTGTTGATCTACAAACGAAACGCCCAACACAGCTAGCCACATATAAGATTCAACTGTCGCTCAAGCGATTACGTAGTCGCTTGAGCGATATTGAACCCACTATCGAAACGTCCAACGCAATTAGCCATATAACTTGGTTTACCGCATATAAGAATCACTTGTCGCTCAAGCGATAATAACGTCGCTTGAGCGAGACAGACCCGAGAATCCCCAATTTTTCAAGGTGTCCTCGCTCAAGCGATGTGTTTTTCGCTTGAGCAACCTTAGATAACGGTTAATAAGAACCGCTTTTAAAAATGTATATTAGATAGCGGTTAGCTGTAAACCGTTGTCTAACGTATGTCTATAATAGCGGTTTACGGCTATTATAAATGTAGTTTAGATAGCGGTTGGCCACATAACCGCTATGTAAAGTCATATATGTCAAAGTGATCGACTATAATTGGATAATAATCGATAATAATTTTCGATAACCGATTATAATTGAGAATGATCGATTATAGTTGGAGAACATCGATCATAGTTTGTGCTACGCGATTATAGTTTTACATAATTTCGCTCTGCATCTCTCTCGCGCGGCGCACGCAAAAGAAACGTTCGTTCTCTCCCGGCGTTCGTTCTCTCCCGGCTCTGGTTCGTCTATGTCTAATATTGGGTTTTGTTCATTTGGTTTAGGGTTTAATATGGTTGTTGATTTCGGTTTTGAATTTTAATTTGATGGTTCATCTTGTTTGATTTCGTTTGCATTGTAAAGAAGAAGCATACAGCAACCATCGAGGTTAATGTATTCTTTGCTTTCTAATTACTCGCAGATTCTCGTTTTCGTTCACTCGTTGACTATCTCAATAGTCGTAAACATAAACCATGGCCGGCAAAAGAAAAAGCTCCAAGCGCACCCACTCGAAGCGACTTCTTCAAGTACCCAAACCGTGACCACGAAGGAGGTGATAGCCCCAAAGGTCCTTGACACCCAATACTTTGTTAATAACGGATTTGACTTCATTAGAGTTTTGAAGGATGTAGAGTTGAATGCCTT